ACCAATTGCCGCTCGTTAGTGCGATATCGTCGAGATCCGTAGGACCTTATCCCCGTCGGACTCTGGAGGATGGGTCTGACATACATCCGCTTTGGAGGGTCTTGCGAAATCCGCACGATCGAGCGAAGTCCGCTCCCATCGAAAGGATGCTCAGCGATTTTTTGTTGATATGTAAAAGCCATGATTTCACTCAAAAAGACGTGATGCTTCAACGAATCATTTATTTCACGGGTTCAAGATCGTGTTGACACGTTTCGTGGATAATTTCCTGGTCTCACTGACTCGAAGCTACAGTCACCAGTCTTTAACGCCTGCTTGATCACCGAACCTCGCGCTAATACCACGTCGATCCCTAACGTATCACTGCATATAATCAATACCCTCCGACTCGACAATGGAACTCAGCAGCACCGAGAACCCGGAACCCAAGCCGATATGCCAAATCATTACTCCAGTGGGGATGCTGGGCTACGGCTTCGACGAAGCCCTCACGCACTACGAACTGTCCCGCCTGGTACCAACCAGCATCCCAACGGCTATCATCTTAGACTCGGGTTCGACAGATAGTGGGCCGCAGAAGCTAGCTTTGGGGTCTATGTCGTGCCCGAGGTCGGCTTATGTAAAAGATCTTGCCAAGTTACTCCGTCTTGTTCACACGTTTCGTGTCCCGTTGATCTTTGGGTCTGCTGGTGGTGATGGAACGGATGAGCATGTCAAGGCTATGGGTGAGATTATAGAAGAGATCGTGGCCGAAGAGGAGAATAAGTACGTCATAGTAGCAATTCCGATGTTATCTTGCTGATACTTGACAGAGTCTATGCTTTCAATACGATATCGCTATTCTCCAATATCAACAAGGCAATAATCCTCGAGCGCCTTCAGCAAGGACGTCTAACCGGGTGCGGCCCCTGCGTTCCACCAGCAACAGAGCTCGAGATCAATGAGTCCCTCCGCGTCGTCGCTCAAATGGGCTACGAACCCTTCTTCGACGCCATGAACGCCAATCCCGACTTCAACATCATAATCGGCGGACGAGCCTACGATCCATCCCCATATGTCGCTTTCTGTGTTTACCAGCTCACACGTCAGTCAAACCATCTCAGCACAGAAGAACTCCACTCTAGACTTGGAGGTTTCTATCACATGGGCAAGATCTTGGAATGTGGAGGACAGTGTTCATTCCCGAAATCTCATGGTGCTGTTGCGACTATCTATGAGAACGGTTTATTCGATGTTCGACCGACAGATCCTCAGTCTATGTGCACGCCGTTATCTGTTGCTGCGCATACGCTGTATGAGAATACGAGGCCGGATGTTCTAAGAGGGCCGGGCGGATCACTACATCTCGATCACTCAAAGTATGAGCAGCTGTCTGATGGAAAGTCTGTGAGGGTGAGTGGTAGTGTCTATCGCTCGTCGGAGTCAGATGGCAAGCCTTATCAACTCAAGCTCGAAGCTGCACGTATTGTTGGTTATCGCTCTATGTTCATGGGCAGTATCACAGACCGTAAGAGCCCCTACCTCCAAGCTATGAAATCAGTCTCACATTATAGATATCCTCGTTTCCCAGATTGACAAACTATTGGCCCGCGTCAAAGTCTACGTCGACCAACAACACTCCGAAATCACTGGTCAATGGGACCTCGACTTCCATGTCTACGGCAAAGACCAGTACACGCAAGCAGGACCAGGTCAACTTTTCATCGTTGCTGAAGCACTCGCACCAACACAGCAGCTGGCTAACAGTATTGCCTCCAAGGCTCGAGTAGGAATGATTGTAAGGCTCCCTATCTACCATTAGGCCAAGCTAATGCGTGATAGCATGCACCTTATCCAGGGCAGAAAGCGACTGCGGGTAACTTTGGCTTCGGCCTTGGTGGGCTCATGGAGATTGAACTTGGTCCTTGTGCTGAGTTCTCGCTGTACCATCTCATGGCCCTTGAGCCGGGTGAAGAGAGGTTGGCTCTGGGTGATGATGGGTCTGTGTTCGAGGGGTCGTTGCTGAGAGGAGTGGTCTCTCGAATTGGCAAAGGGTTCATGAACGGGGCTAACGGGACGAACGGGCACAATACTGTGTCTGAGGTTGATAGCAAGCCTCCTCAGCGGACGAGCACAAGTCCCCAGCGTTCGCCTAGTCCCCCAAACCAAACTATCCAGAAACCCGAGACGCTATCAAACTTGTGCCGCATCGTCCGATCTAAGAACGCTGGTCCATACGAGATCACGATAGATGCCATGTTCGCTTCCAACAAAGCTTATGAAGCTGTCAAATCATCCGATCTCCTCTCATCCAGTAACGTTGCGAAAGCTATTGGCATCTCAGAGCAAGATATCATCTGGATTGGCTTCTTCGATCCCGCTATCGCTTTCAAGGTGACCATCCCCAGAATCCGATCAGGGAAGAAGAAATCTGCTGGCGGGTTCATGGAGAATGACATCCACGGTTCACAGGAACACATGGGCTTAGCAAGCATGAAGCTTCCTGAAGGATTCAACTTCTAGGTCCATTACCAGGTGCTTGGATAATCACCCTCCAGTGACGTCGGGTCGAATTGGAGTAAGCTCGTGTACGGATCGCTCCAAAAGTTCTTCAAAAACTCTGGGTTTCCATCCACCTGACTCATCATATCCTCATGATTCTGTCCTGTCTCTGTCGTTGTCGCCTCAACTGTCCCCCTGTCACTTTCCTCCACCTCAACAGGCTTTCCTCGTATCTTCCCCGCTGTATTAACAGCATCAAACATCAAAGAAACGCCCATTCTATGATTAAGCACCAACTTTGTCTTATCCTCCTCTTTTAAAGTCTCCCGACCCAGTGCTTCAAACACACTTACAACGCGACTGAACTCATCTTTTGGATCAATCGTGCATGCCCTACACAGCATTTGTGTCATAGCGACATGGTTCGCTACTATCTGTTGTTCTTCAGGACCGTCGGAACTCTGGCGGATGAAGAATTTGAGGAGGAAGATTGTTGAGAAGCCCAGACATCTATGACGATCTTTCGGTTGGCATTTCTCGCGTCGGATGAAAGTGGTGTTTTCGGGGTTGCTACGGATAGCTCGTGTTCCAATTTCGACTATTCGAAGAGCGATATCTCGTGCTGTTCGAAGAAGGATCTGGCGAGAGGATGAATTTGCTGGGGATTTTGTGATTACAAGTGTATATATGTGTATCTTGGCGTCTAGGATTGCGTATTCAACTATACTTTTCGTTTCTTCATCTGGTAGAATCTCATTCTTTATCGCATCAAGTTCAGTGTCAAACAAGCGAAGAAATGATGAGCTCGTGCCGTCTGCCAGCTCATGGTTGAGTAGCGCTGTGAATTTTGCCACGACTAGCTGGATGCGCACTTCAATCGCAAAGGCTGGCGGTACGGTTTGTCGTTTCAGGAATGCATGAATCGCAGCAAAGTCTAGCTCCGATTCGACGGGGCAGGGAAGGCCAAGGTGTAAGCTCAGTCTGGTCCCGTTAGTAAATAATTCCATGTTCTCAGTTTCGTGCACTCACGATGTTGAGACACTGAAACAAGACAGCCAAGTGTTGATTCTTGACCGAATGCTCCCCGATGTGACTCCGATGACTCGAAGCGATGGGATGGTCTGTTGACGATCAAGACTCAAGTATCGAGCAGCTTGAATGGCAACACCGCAGTAAAGCCAGCTGGGCTCTTTCCATTGTTTCTCCGTTGGCAATGGCCAGTTGCAGAGAAGTAGCAAAGCTTGCACTTTGTACAGCGGTAGTGGCGCGTCAGTTACAGTCTCCTGTACCAATCTCTCATATGGCGCCCGAAGCAACTGGAATAAAGCGATGTTCTCTGCCTCGGGTAAACGACAGAGCACAATTGTGACAATTGTCCAGAAGAGGAAGGGCTGGTTCTCGTACGCTGCTTGGGCGGAGAGGGAGGCGACCACCGGAAGCCGGGGACGCATGTACTCAGCAAAACTAAAGGCTATGAGTAACTGTAGAGAGGGGGGAAGCGGCGTCTTACACCATGAAGGTCTCTGTCGCAGTTGAAGACTCCATGACTACCCCACCCAGGCTCACGGTGAACGATGTGAGCTCAAAGTCATCTACACCTTCATCCTGGGAGGCTGGTGATCTACTCTCGGATGTAGAGCTCGATCCAGCCACCAACTGATCATCCGTGCGGTGAGTCTGATTGCGTAGTTCTTGAAGTTCCTTGCTCATAGCCTCTAAACGCCTAAGCCGTCATCAGGTCAGTGATTATACCGGATGATACGGTCTTGATACGTACTTCCTCGCCGGCGTCCTCTTAAAAGTAGCGTCTACCGTGCAGAACAAATGCCTTGCATTGCACCGAGAGCACGGATCAGGGAACTTCTCCTTGGAATCACATCGCAACTTGGTAATCAGCTCTTGACTATCTCATATTGAAGATAGAAGCTCGTACCTTTGCCTGTTTACACTCCGTACACGCCTTTACCGGCCTTGAGGCTAAGTGACTCTGCGGCATTAAATAAATATGTATGTTAATAATTAGATGCTTGTTGGTTACACAAACATGCGGGCGCTGGGAACTTTAAGGAAATTGCCGACGTTGTTCTAGCCGTTAGACCGGCCGTTCTTGCTACAAGCTTATCGATAGTGTTGTAAGCCACGGACGTTTAGATACTGAAGCGGGAAAGGCTTGGCGGCTTCTGGATTTAGCCGGGAATGATCCAAGATTGAGCGGGGACAGTTACTCCTTGCTGTTGATTGGCAGATTTCAGTTACTATTTTTAGGTCGTAGGGTAAGTCGATGTTTCCAGAGCCTATCGAAGTCGAGATAAGTATTAATCTCTCTGGTTTGTAACATCTAACTAGATTTCTTTAGCCTTATTTATAAAATCAGTTCGTAATCTAATGCTGAGAAGAGCCAGTTCTTTAGTTAATTGCTTTATAAGTTATAGTAGGGTAGTATACTGGACTGCGACGAGGTTTTGCAGCTTGATAGTAGGAACGATACGGAAATATTAATATGGGAAATATACCACCAACTAAGAACTATTCTTCTCAAAATTCCTCTTGTTCTCTTCCAACCAGGTTCTAAGATCTTGCAACCCGGGATTATAAGCACGGCACTCTTGTACATCTCCACCATAACCCTCATCAGCAAACCATTTGAACATATCACCAACAGACCCCCTCAATACAAACTTGACAGCGCTCGCAACAGGACAAGGCGCCAAAGCCATCTTCTGACCGATGAATTCATAGTAGATAGCATCCGCCTCACGCTGTGTGAGCTCATCACCCACGAGCGTCAACGCCATATTCTTGTACATCTCCGGCCAGATGAGACTCTGAGCCGCGAACCAGCCAATGTCTTTAGTCGACACCATCTGGAGCTTCTTACTTCCCATCTGCTCCCACATACGTGCGAACCCTTTCAGTCGTGATGTTCTCGAAAAAGGTCACTGGTCGCAGAATAGTGTATGTCATCTGCTGTACGCTGTCGCGCGCCTGCTGTTCGAGATGTTTTTCAATGGCGTACTTCGCAGCGAAGTTCTTGACGTAGGTTGGGTTATTGGGGGATCGCTCAGGTCCTCCACGGTCTCCGGAGGAGTAGACAAAGTGCTGGACACCATGCTGCACGGCGGCGTTGACAACAGCTTTGCCTTGCTGTTCTTCTGCGTCGGAATTGATCTGGACGCTGTAGACGCCCCATACTGGGCCAGCTTTGGCGAAAATTGCTCCGACATTGTCCAAGTCCCCCTCAACGACAGATATCTTGGGATTGGCCGCAAGAGCCTGAGCTTTGCGGCTGGTCGGGTTGCGGGTGACTGCGATGATATTAAAGGAAGAATCAGGCGAGTTTGAAAGAATGTTGTCAATGACAGCACCGCCTTGCTTGCCGGTGGCGCCAAAGATCAACATGGTCTTTTGTGTATTGGCTGTCGACATCTTGTGATTCCTGGACTAGGACAAAGGTTGAATGTTCAATTATAGTGCGTAAGATTCTGAGTGTACTGCTTAGATGAGATTATCTTCAATTTTGCGGAAATGTTTGTATTGATATAGTGTAACTATTCGCATTCTCTTGCCAGGGGACGGCGTCCGGGTTGACATTTCCACATATAGATTGAGACGGAACAACTAAATCACTGTGAAACTCATAGATGAAAGATCGCCGTGCGAGTGCGAAAGAATAGAGGACCCCCTCAGGCGGAGCCAGGCCTAGCTTCAGATGTACTAGCACAGTTCAGGTTAGACTTGCTCTCAAATTTCCTCTTTCGAGCTAGCAAGCGAATGCGAGCCGGTCAGTTTATTCACCCATTTCTCATGACGATGCTATTTTTTTGTGCTCCTTCCCAACTGCTACATTCAAAGATTTCCAGCCAAGAACACCATGTTGGAACGTATATTGACCTCAATTAGGCCCATTTGTTGATACTTAAGCGACAAAAACTAAGGCATGAATGCATCTCTTATTATACACTTGTACTCTAAAAAGTCGAGTCTAGCTCTATCGTGTCAACTAGTGACAAGAATCACAAACCAATCTTCCAATCTACCCCTAGTCATCATCACTATAATAGTGGTTGACAACTGGAGGCTTTGCACCGGTGCCGTACGCACTACCACCATAGTTCAGATAACCCTGCGAGTACGGTAGAGCAGGGAACTTGCCCTTGATCTCCTGTGCATCGCCAAACACCCAAACTGTCGCCATACCCATGACCTGATGCTGAAGAATATGACAATGCATCATCCAAGCTCCAATATTCTCCTCAGTAATCTTGATTCTCCATGCTCTCCAACCAGCTGTATGGTGGGGTACGCCCTTGACGGCATAGCGATACAGATTAGTCGAGTCTCGAAGAACAGGCGTGAAGTTCTTGAAGTGCTTCTCGTTCTCATGCGCATCGTAGGTGCCATTTCCTGAGCCCAGATCATAGACATGGTAGCCGTGCACATGCATTGGGTGAAAGTCCCAGCCGCCTGTAGGACCGTTGTTATTCTGCCATACAATATCCAAAACTTCGCCGACCTTGGCTGGGAAGGCTTTGGTGTTGGGGTCAAAACCGCCGTGCTCTAGAGCCAGGGTGTAGTTGGGTGTCTGGCCAGTTTCGTAGACTTGGATGAGATACGGGACTTGGTTGTGGTCTGCCTGGACACTTTCCTTCCATGGGAGACCGTTTTGACTAGATGAATAGGTCAGTAAGATATGTTGAGAAATGTAAGAGGGTACTCACGCCCAAGCAACTGTGCCGTTCAATGTTCCATTCTCATATTGTCCAGTGGTAAGAACCTGATTGATCTGAATGGTCACCGTCCTGGTAACCTCGCTCAAACGAGGGAATGCCTTGTTGTTATACTCAGAAAGCCCTTCAAGCTTGTACTCGAGGTAATTATAGGTATTGTTCGGCAGCACGACAGGTGACGCGGGTGGTAGGGTCCTGGGAAGCTTGGGTCCCTTGGGACACTTGTACCTCAGGATAGCGTAACCACTGATCTGCTTCGGTCGATCACGGCTTTCATATCGAACCCAAAACTGCGAATCATCTCCCCGGCAAACATCCTTTGCAGACTTCGTCTTAAGGAGATAGCTGAACCGTTGACCGGATGAAACCTGAACGTGATCCACCTTGGCGGGCTTGGTGTATGAACCATCAGCTTCAATGACAGTCAGCTTGTCGTGACCATCAATTCCAAGCTTGATCATTGATAAAGCAGTTGCGCCAATAAATCGCATGCGATACGTTTTACCAGGATCGACTTCGATGACATGAGGCGTGCAGCTAATGTCAGAAGCAGTATCGAAACTCTGATTTCCAGAATTGCCGTTAATGGTAATTGCTTGAGGTTCACCAGACCACTTGAACGGATCTCCAAGAAGTCCTGCCTCAATTGTCTCATCTGATGCATCGTAGTTATCAGCGACAATAAATGCGAGATCTCCATCGTACTTGTATTCGGGTTTATCGGCATCCTTGACGATCAGCACTCCATGCGCCGTCAAGCTCTGCAGTCCAACGTGCGAGTGATAAAAGTACGTTCCCGCATCTCCACGCTGAGGTCGAACTTCATAATCGAAGAAGTTATTCGCGGGAATGGGCCATTGGCTGACGAGAGGAGTGCCGTCGGAAAAGGGTGCGGCTCGTTGGCTTATTCCATGCCAGTGCTGTCTCTGTCAGCTGACGTTTCATCAATTGGTGCAAGCCAACTTACGACAGTGAGGTTCTGGTCTGGAACGCGATTGTAGACACGGATCCAGACTGTTTGTTCTTCTTTGAGGTGCAGCGTAGGTCCAGGAAAGGTCCCGTTGAAAACGACCGATTGACGAGATTTGCAATTGACTTTGATGTCCTCTAGCGTAGCCTCAAGCACATAATCCGGCGTAAACGTCTGATCGTGGACTTTGCATTTGGCAGCTGCCAAAGCCAACAATGGCAACACAGCCAGAAGATTGAACATCATTTTGCAGACAATGCCTCAGATCATGAGAAAGAGACCAAAAGTAGAGTTCAATTGCTCTATATACATACTTCAGGATGATGCGGCACGTCGCATTGGGGGCCAGGCAATGCAGGCCCTCCGAGGTGCATTGTCACCCAACAAGCTTTCAGCCCGGATGACACGGCGTGAGCACTAAAGTATCACCTGAAGAAAGGGGCCTAGCGACTTTCCAAAGCGAGCGTGGCACGGCACGCAATGACGTCTGTGATAGTGTCAATAAGCGGCGCGATTTGGTAATAACCAACAAAACATGAATAATGAAGGGAGAATCTAGCGAGGCAGTAAGCCACACTCGCCTTGCTAATTGGTCATGAATTCAAGATCGTCGGGGTTCTCACCGGTTTTTGGGCGCTGAGTCTGACCTCTTTAGGCCAGCGCATGGCTTAGCCGGATTAATGTGCTGTAGCTTGGAGCTTGGGGGCGTAAGGTTTTATCTAGGCGCTATCTAAGCATCTGCCGCGTTTGAAACAAATTGGCATATGCAGAGAACTTCGCAAGCTTCGTTAGCTGCTGGGGTTGCCCCCGCTTCGTTAATTACAGCCCCGTTGATCTGCATGACAGTTATTTCGGGGCTTCGGAAACTGCAAAGTCTAAATGGGAACTTTTACGCGGACTGTGTTGATCCAATGAGTTTCTGGGGGTATGTTGGATTTCGAGGCCGCGCGACAGTTTTTAATGTGCCTCACTTCGCAACTTCAGACTGCTATACATAGGCAAGATAAGTTCGTGAGATGTTTTGATCGATTGTTGACGGCTGCTCCGTAAATGCTCGACCCCTGATCGTTTGCAATAATAGCGCATCAGATCTACAAAGGCCCGCACAATGGCTCAACATGTCCTAAATGTTGAAACTACCGGCATTGGTATGGCGAAAGTCGTCGAGAACAGTGTCAGCGCGGTCATCTCAGTGATCTCCCCTTCCGTGACGAGCCATGGAATGGCCAGTGCTGTGAACCCTTGACACGTAGAACCAATGCTGAAAACAATGTCGAGATCTGGTCGAAGTTCGTGGTCGACATCACGGAAACCGAGATACTTGTCGAATGTCTTCATACTGCGGTCTGATACCCTAATCTGAAGCCCTGGCGTGTCAGAAATAAAGTAAGTTTGCTAAATATCTGCTTCTGCGAGAATGGAGATCTCTTCCCAGGTTGGACTAATCCCTGGTAAGTTGACCTGGGACTTGTTCTCTATCTTGAACAGGTTGCATAAGAACAGAGCAGAATCAAGACGTAGGTCTTGTCACTGAAAGTTAAAAATTAATGGAGGAGACAGGAGTGAGCTACACCAAGTAGTATGTATCCTGCCAGTTACTACTATTATTATATCAAGAATCACTGATTATTGGCTGTTGTATTATAATAAAGAATGTTCAAAAGTTTTAGAGTGATTTAATTTAATTTAATATAAATTAATATATAATATAAATATTAACTTATAGTATTTCCTCTCTTACCTACTATTATGAGTAGTTACTACTTTAATAGAAGCCTTCTTTAAGCTAAACTTAAGTATTGATTAAGTAATAATAAGTCTACTTTTTTAGCTTAGAGAATCTATAAATACCAGCCTTTATTATGTTGTCTTTGTAAATTTAGGATACCATCGCATCGCCCTTAAAGGACCTGAAGTGCAAGAAGGATTCTAGCCTCCTTTAAAGGCTGTGACATACTGGATGCTTGTGAAGTATCTGATTATGGTAATGTTATAGGATGAAGGATTTTTAATTAACTCGCTTATTAACCACGTTAACCTAAAAGGAACAGCTTACTAACATAAGTGTGATTATAAAACTCTAGACATTCTCGCCCTAAAAAAAAGTAAGACTGCATTCACCTCAGTTTATTACATATTTTCCAGCTTAGGCTGCTGATGAAATATCCACTATGAGCGAAAATACACAGCCTTTCAACGAAGGAAACCTCTTCATTATCCAGAATCATTCAACCTATACCGACTTACACACTCAGGCAGCAACTACAGAAAATATCCGGCGCCACTTACAGCAAAAACGCCGGAAGGGGGAAGCTCGAGCACGCGGCACACCAACACCATCCTGGACAAACTTCACCTCTGTGCTATTGCTTCCATCGAGGACGCAAGGCAATGCACCGAACAAGCTCTCCAGACTTTCCCAACCAGCCAACAATAGCATCGATCCATTCCACAGCACCATTATAGGTACCGATGCAGGATCACATCTGAGTATTCTTCCTATCATTTTTGGTGATATTGTCAAGGAGAACTTTCTGGGAGAGGCTTTTGCTCCTCGAGATGTGTGCACCACGCGCAAAGTCACCCGCCACGACGATGCTCTGCATCAACGACTTGTACAATGCGTACACGATGAGCTGTTGATGTATGCGACACTCGCATATGCGTTGAGCTTCAGAAGCTGGTCAGCTGGTCAGATCATACATACGGAAGATTCGGAATACTTTCAACTCAAGGCTATCCAGGCTCTCCAATCTTATCTTCGTACCCCCCAAAACCCCATAAATACATCGGTGCTGCTATCGGTATACTCTCTTGCAATTACATCTGGCTGGAGGAGTATGATCACAAAGAAGCGGATGTTAACTGACCCGTCGACCCCAGTAAAGGCTTTCCGCGGTTCCGGACAAGTTGGCCATCAAATTCATCTAAGTGCGCTCCTGCAACTAATACAAGACTCCGCCGGTTGGCACAATATTGATCCCTACGTTCTTGAGTCTATTATCTTGGGTGATAAGCATGCATCATTTGCGACAGGTGTGCCCCCTATGCTACGACCTTGGTGGGATCCGGGCCCTTTGCCTGTACAATTCAGCCAAGAGTTCTCGGCTTTGACAAATGGAGTGAAATCAACAGATCCTGAACTATTCAAACAATTACACGAACCAGGAATCATGAAAATCATAGATGATACAAGACAATACCTCCATGTATCTGTATCACTATGGCTTAGTGGAAACGTATCGGCAGAACTTGAATCTTGGCTGTCCTTTCGCTTGCATGCCCTTCAGTACCGTTTTCTTTGGGCCTACCACGAAGCTGAGTTATTATTTGATCGCTGTGTTTCACTCACAGCCCTCGCAATGCTACTTAGTTGCGGGCAGGTTAAAGGCCTGCGTGGAGGTGCGGCTTGGGTATCACAACAGCTTTGTCAGGTTGTTGTTACAACTAGACAACTGCAGCAGGATTGGAGCGATGACATGGTGGCGTGGGTTTTCTTCACAGGGGCCATGGCATCAGTCTCAGGTCAAGAGAAAGACTTGTTTCTGTCCTGCCTTAGGACAATGGGCTTTGATAAGAGGACGTCATTAGATCATGTTGAGAAAGTGCTGACAAGGTATCTATACCTGAAGTCGAGACAAGAAGCGCAACTTTCCCTTGTTTTATCATTAATATGACTCCGTTCGACAAGAAGTAGACTTCCTTTGTGCAACCTCTTTCAAGGATATGAGTAGTTTCGAATGGTCCAAGCTTGCAGGTACGTATCAACAGCATGTTCGATAATTCCTCGTCAGGCTATGGCCTTTCCACATCAGAAAAGGGTTATCATAATCCATTCAGATATTCAACCCACGCCATTTGCACAAGCTCTCTAGGGGAGTTTATTGCTGGGGCGATTAAGAGCAATCTTGAGATTAGCTGGGAACACTAGGCCATACTAGGAGATACATACCCATTTTAAGTTAGACTATAAGCTGGCTTTTCCTAAGGTTTGAATGTGGTGTTGATAGTGGAAGTTTCTAGTACAGTACGTATCTGACTGACTTTAGCGACGGCGTTTGGACATGTGCGTCACACCGGAGCCTAGCGTCCGCTCATTTCTTGTAGAGTCACTCAGGCTGAAAATTGAAATGGAAGGACGGCCAATGAGAGATTACGGACGATAAAAGTGGCGATGATAGGTATTGAGTATGTGAGAGATGAGAAGTCTTTCCATGGCCACGCCTATGGTAATAAACTCGCATTCGCATTCGACGTATCAGTTTCAGACCATAGACGAACCGAAATCGGGCCCATATTACCTCTGTTAGTATAAACAAGGTTCCTTGAGGTGATTAATATTGCACCAGCGACCCATATGAGCGAGCCATCGGCGGCTCCTGTCGGTATCAACTTGAGTCTCTATGTACGCTATTTCCCGATGTAAACCGAACCCCAGGTTAAATCCCTTACACAGCAAGCCTCTTATCTAGAACATGTGAAGCTCCCGGCTTTTTTAGGGTTTCCTCCAATATACAATTGTTGTTTCGGGTATGCACAGAGGTCTCTAACAATTTCGCCCTTGGGATCAATTGCCTCAAGCGTATCAGGCGCCTGACCTCTCTCGACCCAGGCAACAAGCGAAGCCAGGGCATCTTTTGGGTACGGACCGACATATGACGCGCAATGTGCCATTCCTGGAGCAGCAAAAAAGCGGAAGTACTCTGCGACTTTTTTGTCCCCTGCCTCAACATCGTTATAGTAGTCGATCGTGCCACTCACAGGGATAAGCTCGTCCGCGAGGCCGTGCACAGCAATCATCTTACCGCCTGCTTCACGGAATTCTGAAAGGTCGGGATCATCTGTCCCGATAATGGATTCGTATTGTTGGACAGAATTGTGGAATAGACGTGCATACTTTGCTTGAGTCATGTTTGCAAATGAGAATTGTGGATCCTTAGCAAGGAAGTACTTGATCCAATCCGCACCAAGCTGCAATGGTGCCCCAGTGCATGTGTCGCCTGTGCAGGTTGTGTTTGCGATACCCATGAGTCGAGCTTCCTTGCCAATGCCGTACCAAAGCTGTGAGCCGCTAGGGGAACGCGGCCCATTCCAAGCAGCGTTGGCGATTGTTGCTGCTTGAGACGAAAATTGTAGAGTTCTTCCACCACAATTGAATGATTTACCCATCAAGCTATGAGCATCAAATTTGCATTGGTCTGGATGAGAGATAATGCCATCTCTGACACCATCCAGCTCGTCACAGGCCTGGATCGCTCTAGCTGTGATTGCTGCCATTTCACACGGCAATGGGTAATAATTCAAGTCCTTCATGACTTGTTGAGGCCAGTAGGTCGAAGTCGGTACTTGAGCCCAGTTTATTACAGGAGAGAATGCCAGCACGCCATCAAACGCCTCTGGGAAACGCTGTACGAGCATGAAGCCCTCTCTTCCACCTGTTGAGCAGCCATTCCAGTACGAGTACTTGGCAGCTTTGTTGTAAAATCTCCTGGTGACAGCCTTCCCAATAGCAGCCATGTCGCCGAGCGCAGTTGCTGCGAAATCTTGCAAGGCGTTGAGGTTCACATTTCCTGGACTGTCGAGTGCCCAAAACTCTATGAGATCAGTCTCACTGTGACCAGCGTCGGTTGTCGCTGTCGCGTATTTAAGAGCAACTCCAGGTGCGAGAGACATGGCACCCAGACCCGCTGCCCATCCACCGCCACCGGATCCTTGAAAACGGCCATTCCACTCAAAGGGGAGCCAGACTCGGACATGAATCTTGCCCTTCTGGCCCGGATGAGTGTAAGTAACGGTGACATTGCAGAAACTGAGGTCTGTGAAATTTGTGCTGGCAGTAGGGTTTGCTCCATTTTGAGGTACGAATATGCTATAATTGTTGACTGGAGAGGCTGTGATGCTTTGGATCTTTGTGCCAAATGGTGAGGGAATTCTGAAAGAGAGGGGAGAACAATCCGGCGATTTTAGTACCGCACCAGTAACGAGGTATGCAAATAGCAGATATAAGAGAACCATTGTGCCGTTTGGGAGATGTAACCAAGCAATAATACTTCCAGGTATGACGTATCAGTTCGAGATTGAGAAAGACTCTCACTGACGGCTTAATGCAATTTACTCAAAATCCTGAGCTAACCATTTTATCAGCTTTATATAGACAATCGGTTCGATAATACATACGTATTCCGGGCCTCGGATAGATTCTATCTCCGGATCGTCAGATACTAAAAGCTGAGGCTCTTGAGGCGGTGCTAGTGGAGAACCGCCATTTCCATTCTGGGACATATATTTCCCTTTTTGTGTTAGCGTTAGCGTGGTCTTGCATGTAGATCCTTTGTGTCAGCACTAAAGCAGCAGTAGTACACTCAGTAGTATGTAATCTAAGTTCTTTCTAGGCCAGGGAAGATTCTACTACACCTCCGTATATATTCAATGAGTGGCCTCATTGAGTCTCAAGATTCTCCCCAAACTTATCACACAGAACACAAAGCACTTTCCATAATTCCAATACAATGATGCAGACATTCTTAGGTCTCCTGGTCGCGGCAGGTGCTATGTCCTCTCCAACTCCTCAACCTCCGACAGTCCATACTCGCAACGGCACGCTCATAGGTTCCACTACAGATCATGTCGAGAACTTCTACGGAATTCCATATGCTCAGCCTCCAGTTGGTAGGCTCCGGCTTCGACATCCGCAGCCAATTGGCAAATCTTATGGGCGTCTGCACCTACCAGCCAACATTAGTGATGTCACTGCCTGTGTCCAAATGGACCAGGATCCTTCTTTAACCGAAGGCCTTTCAACGTCTCTGACCGATGTCCTACATGGAGTGGGTGGCAATTTCACAGGCAAGTCCGGAGAAGATTGTCTCACCATCAACATCCAACGCCCATCCGGTACCTCAGAACATAAGAGACTACCGGTTCTCCTATGGATCTACGGTGGCGGCTGGGAGGTCGGCACTACACAGATCTACGACGCGTCAGCTATCATTGGGAAGAGCGTGGCCATGAGAGAGCCTGTAATCTTCGTCGCACCTAACTATAGAGTCAACGCATACGGGTTTCTCAATGGCAAAGAGATCCAAGAAGCGGGGTTATCTAACCTCGGTCTCAGGGATCAACGCAAGGCTCTTGAGTGGGTGGCAGAGAACATAGAGGCTTTCGGTGGAGACCCAAACAAGGTCACTATTTGGGTATGTTTAGTCTACCTCATACTCTGTATTCATGACTGACAGTATAACAGGGAGAAAGTGCCGGTGCTGCTTCAGTGTTTGATCATCTGATCATCAATAACGGCGATCATACTTACAAAGGCAAACCACTTTTCCATGGCGCAATTATGAACTCGGGCACGTTCGTCAATACGGTCGGAACAGCGCATCCTAAAGCCCAGAAGGTGTTTGACACGTTTGCCTCTAATTCAGGTTGTAACCCTTCAAAGCTGGGAAAGGCGACAATTGACTGCCTTCGTCAAACTCCGTCAGCAAAGTACCAAGCCGCGATGAATACCCTACCGAACTTCAGTGGCCCAGACAGCAACAACCTAGCATATATCCGCCGGACCGATAATTCAAGCTCCTTTTACAGCAACGTTCCACAAGACGCTCTCCGAAGGGGTAAATACGCCCATTTGCCGATTATTGTCGGCAACTTGGAGGACGAAGCTACGATCTTTGCAGTATCTTCTCGAAACCTCATAAACTCAACTGAAAGCCTAATTTCATACTTCACCACCTGGTTCACTGACGCACCGCGGAAGTTGATTAGCGACTTTATCGCTACGTACCCGAACCATCCAAGCGCAGGACTCCCGGCTGGGACAGGTGATAAATATGAGCTATATCCCCAGTATAAACGGAACTCAGCCATTCAAACAGACGTCACGTTCGAAGGCGGTCGACGTGTCGTTTTGGGCTATCTGTCCAGGGTTGTACCTACTTGGAGCTATATCGGCACCTACCTTCACAAAGACCCAAAGATTGCACAGTTTGGTACTTACCATACTTCTGATCTCGGAACCCAGTTCTTTCTAGAGAACCCGACAGCAGCAAACAATATGAACGAAGCCTATATTCACTTTGTCAATTACTTGGATCCCAATGGAAGGAAGGGCCGCTTAGGCTGGTGGCCAAGATGGAGTGAGAAGTGTCAACAACTTGCAAACTTTTCCTCTACTGCAGTTAGTTTGACTGGAGACAATTACCGAGAGGACAGTATTAAGTTCTTAGAAAAATATAGCTCTCAACTCCTTCAATGACTTATATAGTACTTAAAACTATTTAGTTTAAGAGATTTAATGTAATTAAGTTTTTACAAGTTTATTTTAATTTAATATAGCATTCTAGGCTTTTTATTATTATTAGGTAGTGAAACTTTTATTTTAATCTAGGGCAACTCTCCAATAATATCCTCGATCTCCATGCAAAGGATTGTAGTCGGTTCATTATGGCAGCCCAAGTTGATGTTGGAAGCCTTGGTCGGGTCTGCTGCAGAATCCTTCTTAGACGCCATTCCCATGACTTGAGATGAAGGTAAGGAGGTTCCAGAAAAGATGGTATCCATGGATAGGTGAAAAGGTGTCACGAGTGTGCGAGTGAGAAGTTGAAAGTAAGAGGAGCAGACTTGTGGATTGAAGAAACTACCGGGACGCGTCAGACGTGGTGGAGGCAGTGATTCGGAGGCCTCGAGCACGCCAAAGCTTCGCCCACCAAAATACTCGAGCACTGCAAAAATGGACCACGCGACGCTCTTAGAAGAGAAACAAAAGGCCCTTTAATTGAAATGGTCCCATTCAGTAAATGTCGTTATCTACATAAGCTCTCAGGGACTACAACCTCTTGATCAACTTCTGACTCAACATAAGCCTTGATACAACAATCAGAAACGTTGCAGCAGACCCGACACCCGCCGCATAAAAGATGGCCGCTCTATACGGCTCAATCGACGAAGCCTCCGATGCGCCCGCGGCATCAATCAGAATCCCCGCCAAAGGCGCTCCCATCAAATATCCTGGTGTCCAGAATGACGTCATGAGACTAATGGACGCAGCAGCTGATCCAGGCGCAAGTGCAGCTACAGCTGTCGGCAGTGCAACAAAGAAGCTCCCATTCGCGCATCCATTAATGATGGCGAAGGCGAAGAGTGGCGGAAGCGATGAACTGACGGGCCAGATTGCTAGCATAGACACGCTATTAATGAGAGCTGCAAGAGCTAGAGAGTTGAAAGCACCTATGTGATCGCAGATCCAGCCTCCAAAGAGTCGACCTACAGCTGTAGATGCGCCGAAGCCCGCGACAAGCCCTGCACCTGTTGAAGCAGAGAGGCCGATCGACCTCGCGAACACGGGTAAGAAGAATGGCGGCACAAATAGAGCAAAGACACCAACGGCGCCTGACATGGTGAGAGTCAGAAAAGGCATGCTCTTCAACTGTGACCAGTCAAATCTCGATGTTGTTCCACCACGCCTAAGCTCTGTGAGGAGAAACGCGCATGGAATTCCTGTCACAAGAATCGAAGCACCGAGAATTCGAAACGTCCATTGAAGTCCAACCTTATCGATCATGGCTTGCGTCGCCAGAGGAAGCACAGTTGCACCAACACCACCTCCAGCTTTGACTATTCCATTGGCTGTACCGAGTTTACGGCTGAACCACTGAGTGGGCATGGTGTTTGTCGCAGTGTACAGCAGTGATGTTGACAACCCGACGAGTAGTCCAGCAATGCAGAAAAGCCCAGCCAGGTGCTCGAGGGTGAAACTCGTGATGATCAAGCCGGCCCCGAAGAAGATTGTCGCTATGACACTGGTGATTCTTATGCCATACTCTCTTGACAGTCTGACAGATATCAAGCCGAACGCAACCATGCAGGCCATGTACAAACTTCCAACGAAAGTAATGGTTCGAATGTTAGTATGAAGTCGAGGCGATTGAACAATGGCAGCTTGCAAGACTCCCCAGGCTGTTGTGTATCCGTTTATCCAAAAGAGGAGAATGAAGCATGATGCGACAATTGTCCAGCCATATCCGCCATCAGGAATTGCACTCGTGGCGTGTTCTGGTGGCTCTTCTTCATTTCGTGCGGTGTTTTCATCGCTATTGAGTGGACTCTGGCTCAAAGAAGACATCTCCATAGCATCGCCTTGGCGTGACGGATCCATGCTGGATGTCGTGACGGGCTGTGCGATTGTGTTTGTGGCCATTTTGATGAAAGGGACGACTCGAGATGTATAGGACACTTCCGCTTCCAGGAAAGAGAACTATATACCTGAAGAAAAAAGCAATTGGCACAGACGTTATTGGCGTCGAAGTAGACCTTCATCACATGAAGGGCGCACTTACAGGGCGTCTACACTCATCACCTGAAGGGCGCGCGTAAGCATAAGCATAAGCAATGACGGCATTCACCATGCCTGTACAACCATCTTCCTAGTCAAGTTAGGCTATCTTTCACCGCTGATGAACTCATTCCCAAAGCGGCTTCAACGCGGGGTTAAACATTGTGTCCTTACATCTGGGGCTTTGCATTCTATTCACTGACTCTCATCTACAGCCTTATGTAGAAAGATCGCGAAGAGTGGTATTTTTGCATATGTCGACTTATAATACTGCACTGGGTGTGCATTCTTAGGGCGCAGCCAGATCAAGATGTGCGGTCTTGAGAACTCTTCAACCTTGGAACTTATCAGCATATGTCACCATGATGCCATGAGAGATAGGCTTCGAGGCGGCGGCTGCGAGTTTAGCCAGTGGACGATGTTGAATTAGAAGAACTTGACTCATAGTGCGGAATAAAATGATCTCTATAGATAACCGGAAGTGGATGAAGTTGGCGAACAGTATCAGTAAATCAATGAAAACCTCTACGTTGAGGTGTCGTGAGTTCCGTCGGACAAGGTCTTCTTTTCACATACGGAATTCCGCTCATAAAGCACAGCGAACTCCGTAGGTCCGTTTCATCAAGATGTATGGAGCTCCGCTGCTCAATAAGCACTAGCTTTAAACCATGTGTGACCAGGCTCTGTACTACAATGCTCTGGAACTAAATTGGTATTCATTTCTATTCCTATTACATCACCAAGTATACCCTACGGGCAAAATTTGACCGTGTTATTCTTGTAACATGAAAATCCTTACGTCGATGCTATGCCCTTCCCCTTCTTCTTGCTTGGACAAGTTATGCTAGGACACGTCTCAGCTGTGACAACCATCAATACGTGCACAAGAATACTGAACCATCCAGAAGGTATGAGCTTAGCTCTACATCGGGCTACCGAATAACTAGCTCGGTGATACCTTTTTACTGATTAAATAAAATTAGGCCACATTATCTTTCTCCTGATCCTCCTCATTTGCCTTGTCACATTGAGGTTGTTTCTCTGTTACTTTCTCCTTCACTTCCTTTGTTTCCTCCTCCCCAGTTTTCTTCTTGCTAGGGCATTCTGGATTCGGGCAAGTCTCAGGAGTAAAGGTGCCGCCCACGATAGTCTTCATTTCCCCATTGATCACCAATGACGGAGAATGGAAGGTCGTTGAACTAGTTAGTCCTAAGTATGATGGGCAGTATACCCACTTCAAAGTTTTGGTATGCTCGCAGGCAGTGCAGTATATTATCTCGCGAATACACATATTATTGCTGGCGTAGGCAATGTTTCTGAACACAATATCTTCGTTAGTGGACAGAAATCCTCTGGTCTAAAGTTTGTTGTTGAGGGTTAAGTTGACACTGAGTGCAGGACTTTATAGTCACCCTTCTGTGAGATATCATACGATCAACACCATGACATGCATATGGGCTTAAATTCAATCAAAGGGCCTCGTGAAAAATGAAGTGAAATACGGTGAATCATTCTATTAGGCCATAACTAAGGTTTAGACTGAGTGAAGAGACGTCATACAATATTACCGCGGCGAAATCGATATCCAGCCAACAGCTAGGGAAAGCTTTCAGCGTCGGAAGAAGAAGCAAGTCAAAATAGCACAGATATGAATGCGACCTTCTAGGATGAATATCTCTGTACTGTGAATCATGTCTCACGTTATTCCGTAGCCAGGGTTTCACAGTGAGCCGCATTGGCACATACACAAAGCAAAGTCATCACATCTCCCTTGATAGACTAGAATTTCGAGTATTATATTCGCCATAACGCGAGAAGTCTTCTGAAAGTCAAGTATTGCACATTAAGTTCCGTCATGGCCGTAGTCATGATGTATTGTTGATCAAGCATCCTCGACATATCACTATTCTCCAAGTCTACCGTGGTGCCAGTTTCTTGATTCCAGCTATCTGATCATCATGAATCCATTTCCAACAAGCGCGTGTCCAGTCCGTACATTGTAATGAATTCCATTCGATATATGCCATCTGACCTCCTGGCCGCTAGAAAAAAGGAGGTTCTGGAGTATATGATTTGCCTGAAGCCAGCCAGGCATTGTATTGAGCCATACATATTGAGCAATGATCGAACGGCGAACTTCTGTCCTGATCAACTTCGGAGCAATCGCTCAACTCGCAATGTGTCTTGTTATCTCTCCGAGCCTTTTCACACCGACGAATGTCAAGACCAACGCCTGTCGACGTGTGGCACCGTCTGCAGCGATAAGTGATGTTTGTAAGCCAGCACATAATGGGCCAGTAGCGTTTACAAAGCTTAAAATATTGGATCTTAGTATAATAGTGTGGAATCGCAATGAAGTGTAGTGTTGATGTCAACGTGGGAGGGAGAGATCTTCTTGAGGCTAGGATGACGGGTTTATATACTTGGGAAAGGTCAGTGATTCGCAAGGATAATGTGTTGATTTCAGATACGTTGGCCCTACAGTGTATCAAATCCTATAATATAAGGGTCATGGCTTTGTTACAGTGCATCAGGCACAACGCCTCACCCTCACAGCGTCTGGGATCTACCGGATGGTATGGATCCCAACACAGCTGAACGATGCAAGTAAGCTGTCAATCTCTGATTCGGGTACATTTCCGGATATCCCAAACATGATAGACAGTAGCTTATGGGAAGTCAGAACCTACAGAATCACAAAGATAGACCGGTGATATATGGTCCTTCGGATCTTTGCTAGGACAACATGTTCAGAAACGGTAAGTTCTATACATGTACCTTCTCAGACTATCTCCTATCTTACTATTCATGGAGCTTATAAATATGGAGGTCATGACATCAAGGTCAGAAATAAATCGTTGAATTCGAGGTTGAGGTTGCAGGTGCAGACAACAGCATCACATTTTGTTCGGCCCTTAAGCCTCCGGGCTTTCTACGCCGACCTCATGTAGTGAAAGGACCTCGTCACGCGCAGGACAACACATTGTAGATCCTTTAGACAAACAGTTTGGGAGAGGTTTCCATTAGGTCAGCTGTCACCAAGCTAACTTTACGTCAAAACCACAAGAGATATGTCTGGTCTCTACCATAAGGGACAAAATCTACTCCCCGAGGCTGACAGCCCAAACTCCAAGAGGGCCCATCCTAGACTTGATACTCTAGGTAAAAGGTGGACGAGGATAGTAGGGTCTTCCCGCCCGCACAGCTGCCTGCCACCGATCGTATTCCCTCTCACATAAAGAACATTCAGGCCACCTCAAAAGCCGATTCACGGTCCCGTCTTCGCAATCCTCCAGACTACAACGCCATTTGCCCTCTGCAGCCGCTCTCGCGCATCTTTGGGTGCTGTACTCGCTACGTATCACCTGGCCACACCGTAAACACCGGAAATAAGTGGTGACACAGACACACATATTAGCGCGTTGATATGCTTAGCGATATTATATTTATTTGAAGTGATGTTGATCGAGATGAGAGTGTCGGCAAAAGAGAGAAATGACTCCAGGCTCTGAGATTGACGAAGTAGATATACTTGGAGAACATCGGTGATTCGCAGCGAGATATTTGCATTGTTGAAGAATTTGTGTTCCACTGAATATAGCAAGCGCTACCTTACCTTATATATGTAACTCAAGTTTCACAATCGCGCTGATGAAATCAAGATTGTATCAAAAGTGTAACATCACGGATTGGCTAACATAGAAGCGCGCCATATTGCATAATAGGAGGATTGGCTAACTGAGCAATATTAACCCATGTTACACGATATCTTTCACAGAACAATTTAATTCAGATCAGTGAGTCAAAGTCTTCATAGTTACTCATAAATTAATCAGAGATAATCTATGAGCCGGAAGTACTCATATTAGTGTATTTATGGTAAATTGGAAGTTATTAGATCAAGGCAGGTTCTTCTTCCAGGCTATCTAGGATGTCATTTCCCATAGTCCTCATACCCAGGGAAAGGCGGACCAGGTGTTGGAACTTCGTCACCGTTATCTACACGCCACTTCCAGAAAGAGAAAGCCTGAAGACATGTTTCACAGTCTTTAAACGACTCCAAAATTTCCCAGGGGCTTGTCCACTTCGCATCTGGGCAAACATGAGTGCCTTTGTCCCTGGCTTTGGGACATTGTATAACTTGGATATTAGATTTGAGTTGACATTTGCAGCGTTCGCAGAGGTGGAGCATATCTGTGACTTGGCACATATCGGGGCTTGGTTTTTGAGATTGGAGGGATTCTTGAATTTGATGGGAATCAAGATCAGATACTTGTAGCCTCCTAGGTGATTTAAGCGAAGGAGGATTCTTCTTTGTTCCAAGTGAGAAGTGATCTTCCAAACAATGATGATGATAAGATTTATATACACTCAGAAGGCAAGTTATTAACAATTATTAGCATCAATTGGCTATGCGCTGTGCTGGAGCGATCAATGTGCTAGGAGAATGATATGCGATGCCATTGAGGTGACTCTAATGAGTAGTGGTGAAGGTGGGCAATATGCAGTTCATGTTTTAGCTAGTCTGCTGCGAATTAATCATCATCAAGATTCCTTCCATCACCGCGTCACCTCAAAGACAAGGGCACTCAATTATGTGCCGTGGTCCTGTACCATGCAAGTAGTATCAACAATATAACAGCTCAGCTAACCTCACCAGCTCTATGTTGATTCATTCACTGGATCAAATAATTAATCCAAACGAAGCATAATTGAGATACTTCAATTGAGAGATTCCTAAATGAAATGATCTATGCCTTCTTATGGGCGTCAAGTTAGTAGCGTCGGAATGGAGGATAAGGATCTGGAACGGGCCATCCCCGTCTCAGATCTTCCTGCCATTGATTGAACTCTCGTGTACATGC